TAAAGAGGGCCCTGACAGAGGAGAAACAGTTGTTTCACACAAGGGCTGGGTATTTCCCAGGTTCACTCTCAAGCAATGTTTAAACAATTTGTTGATACCTGTGAGCTGCCAGCACTGTTGTTTGTGATATTACTGTGGGTTTTGCAATACTTTACTTTCCCCCTCCTCTCTATTTTTTTAAAATAAATGCTTCCCCTCCTGCAGTTCTGTTATATGTGTTTAAACCAAATACAATCTAATTCTGCTAAGATTGGGAAAGGGAGGAGGAATTCAAACATTTTAGCTGACTGCATGCTGAAGACAGATTAGGAATAACTCAAAATACTCTCAAATATGAAATGACTTGTGGTTTAGCCTCGTATCATTGTTCGTATGCCTCATATTTTGGCGATGATTGTATTTTGTGATGATTGTATGATTGTATTTTGGTGGTTTAAAATGATGTCTGAAGAGGAGAGTAGGAAAATTATTAACATTCAAAGGCAGACTGGATTTCTATGGTGATGTATTAATACCAATACATCCCTCTTTGCACTGACATGAAGTGCACATAAATGAAGTGATTCCTCTTGTCCACCTGATGGATTGTTGCCTTAAGAGTAAGGCTAACTTTTCTGTTGCGTTCAGAGGAAGGAGATTTGGCACAAAATAACCCTCCTTTTGGTCCAGCTGGATCTCAGGTATCACAGGGACTTGGGACAGCTGAGTGATAGCCAATTCAGTTCTGCAAGTCCAGGTTTGCTCAGTAAGAAACATCACAGTTACAGATGCACAAACAGTGCAATTCACTGTAAGTCTGGCTGTGCCCAAAGAGCTTTTGCAGCCAGATCTGAAGTCTGGTGGCATACAGTAACTCTTAGGGCCAAGTACAAAACAGTGCCATTTATTGAGCAACAGAAATGCAGGTTGTTACTGGACTGCTGGTGATAAATACACCACCTGAGAAGCATGTGTGAATACACAAAATATGAATTATACAGCTGGTGACAAAGACATTAAATTGCCAGATGGCTCTATAGGGCTAAAGTATGATCACAAATACACAAATTTCTAGATTTCCCAAAGAATCACTCAGTATAGTTGAGTGTTCAAGTTCTATTTCTTAGTCTTTCACAAAGATGGAGTCTCCTTTAGCCTCCTGCCTCACTTAAGCTGTATCTATACTTTTCTCTTTGAGAGAGGGGAAAAAGTGAAAAGTTAAAGGTGATGTCATTCCACATTTGAGTGTAGTTTGAGAGACTGCAGTCATTCATGTAAAGCATATACAGGTTTTAGTCTGTTAGCATGGGCAGAGGCATGAAAAGTAATATGTATTTTGAGTTAGTTAAGCAAAGGTCAGTTTTTGCTCACCATTTGGGTCAATCCTGTGGCTTAGTTCCTGTTAGCTTCACTGTCTTAAACAGGGCAAGGCCACAACACCTCTGTGCTGTTCCACCCTTTGTTTCATGCCTCTCTTAGAGTGATACATCAAGCTCCTTCAGTGTTTCTGCTCCGAACATGTGCAGCACTTTGTTCCTGGTGAACTGTAGCCAACACATGTACTCCTTCCCACTGAACTTTGTTTTTCATTCTTTTTCCCCACACAGATTAAAGAAATATGACCCTCTAACCTCCCAGTCCCCATTTTTTTTCTTTCAACCCAAGCATCTCACATTTCAAGGCATTTTTAAGACTATTTAGGAGACTTCCTTTGGTCATGGAAGCAGAAGGATTAGACACAGGCCATAATGACCTATAAAGCCAAGGGTGAATGCACCTTGGGAACAAAATTTATATGAGAACACATTGTTCTTATGTGTTTATATTGTAGTCTGATAATGAGGGAAATATAAAGGGCCAAACCCATGTTTGATCAGCTTTGAGCCTTGAAATCAAAGGGATTTAATTTTCTTTAATGTCCTGTGTTTTCTGATATGAAAATGCAAACACAGTTGCTGGACACTAGCAGAAAGATGCAAAGGCAGCAGGCATCTTTTCTATTTGTTCTCTGAATTTCTTACTACCAAGGCAGAATGACTCCTCCTGTTGAAAATCCTAAGCTCTGCAAAATCCTGCCTTAAACCAGATGGTACTGTTATCAGATGAGAAGGGCAATATTGCCTTTCCTATTTCAGCCTTAAGTAAAACGCTCACCCTCAGTCTACAGCTGACACAATTAGCTGAGACTCTAAAGGGGAAATTAATTGAGACAGAATGGACAAAATAACTTGGGAACCAATAGCAGTCTGTTGGAGTGCAGCAGCAGCAGCAGACAATTGCAGAGGTTAATTCCAAGCATCTGCCTCACTTCCCTGGCAGACTTTGCCAGCCTTGAGGTGCCGATATTGGATCCCCTACTGAAAGTGTCTCCTGAATCATAAGAGAGTTGTGCAGCGATTGAGGTAGGGCAGAACCTCTGATCTTTCAGTCTCATTTATGTATTTATGTATTTATGTATTTATTTATGTAAGTATTTATGTAAGTAGGAATTACTTAGCTTTAAAAGATTCTCAGTGGTTTCTGCTTTGTGCCTGGTGCCTCTTCTCCAAGAGCTGCTTGAGACTCTGTCAGCTGCACAGGTTTCTTTTGCCACTGCTCTGCTCCGGCCCACAGCTAAACCAGGTATTTAAAGTGGTTAAAATATATCTTATGTCCCTTTTGTCTGAGAAGCTATAGTAAGCTTTTTTTCTCCAGCCAAATCCTTCTTTTTAATGCGGATAAATATCTTGTAAACTGAATGTGCTCAAAGCACAACTTCATGTGTTTCTTGTCTATCTCCAAATCAATATTCAGGACTCTGCTGAAAGCAAAGGACTGTGGGTCACTAAGCAAGAATTTTTTTCCACTGCTGTTAGAAACAAACAGAATTTTGTCTTAGGGTTCTTCAGAAGTTGGGGGGGGAAAAAGGGTGACTGAAGGGAATTGGAGAGAAGATTCTTATTCAACATCTTGTTATTCTGTCTTCTGTTATTCTATCTAAGCTGAGTTATGCTGGTAAACCTGAAATGAAGAAAAAAAAAAAAACAACAACCCTAAGCTGTTTTTACAGACTTTTTCATCACAGTATATTTTTGAATATTAGTTACCTGCAGAAACGTGCTCAGTTTGGTTTGGTATTTTTAATAGCAAAGATACTGTCAGAGATGAGTGGATCAAATATGTGCTTTATTGATGGCCAGAAACTGGAATTCCTGTTCCTTTAGAAAATCAAGAATTTGAAATTGCCATTATTTGGAATTAGAACTTTAGAGCTGAATTTCTGAATATCTTTGATTTGGGATGAGAGGCCTGTTTTGTTTTAGAATTATGAATATTAGTTTTTAACTTTTTATATGTATTTAGTATGTAGACTTAGCTTTCGTATTTAAACATGTTGTACTGAAATTTTTCACAGAGTTGTATGATTTTCAATTTCTCATTTCAAAACCAATTAAAATCCGTAATTCCTGAAATTATTTCACCTTTAGCACATTTTTCTTTTTCAATAAAATGTTTGAACTGAAGTGAGATGTGACTCTAATTGGTTTGATAAATGCAGAACAAACACAGACACTTTAACCTTTGTAGTAATTCTCTTTAGAAGGGACATTTCTCAAAATGTTTTCAAAATAGCCCTTTATAAAAGTTTAATATTATCACTGATTTTTTTATATTAAGACAATGATACAGAATAATGCTGCAGCCATATTTGGAGTTTCACTTCTTTGGCAGAAGACCTTCTTTTTCCAAGAACTGAGGATCCATAGCTGTGGGGAAGTTATGGCAGGGGGACAAGCTAGGATGCTAATGTCCTGCATGGTGGCTTTCTGAACCACTCTCTTTGTGGCAGGGGGGTGAGGGGTGTACCTCTGCCTTTGGAAGTCAGATGAATCTGAATTTGTTCTGTCATTGTCTTTTGGTAAAGCTAGCTAATGGTAAAAAGGCATTATAGAAGTTATAAATAGTATATTAATTCTTTTGTCAAGTGGAGTGTCTGTCATTTGTCTCACAGGTTTTAGTAATGTGATTTAGTAATATGTTGAGGTTTTGACCCTGTGTGCTAACCTCTGCACAGGAGTAAATTTGTTAGTTTTTCCAACAAGTCCAAGAGATTCTGATTAAATTTAAAACAATTATTTTAAGGCTTGCATGTGCAGCGATGTAACTGCACAGGGAGGGAGGGTGGAAATTGCTAATAAATAAATAATAACATCTGTTTTATTTTATAAATTTTATAAGCACATAAATGTGTGGCCCTGTACAGCGGTGCCTTCAGAAGTGCACTGCACTACTGTGGACTTGAGAACTTAGCATAGGGCTGTGAATTTGCTGTGGGCAATCCCAGAAAAATATATTCAGGCTTGGCTCAAAGCACTTCTAGTGGTGGTACCTGTTGTGTGTCTGGCTGTCTAAATTAGATGTTCCTGTTGTTGCCCAGAGAATTTATGGAGAATATGTTTTATGTCTTGCCTTTCTGGCACTAATTGCTCATTTAATTTTGTTTGGTTCATTGGTTTTTAGTAAAGCTTGCTGATGGTAAAGAGGCACATTTTAGAAAGTGTAAATATTGTACTCTTTTGTTTTCCCTCTTGAAACAAAGAATGAATGTTCTTGTGCCCTGAATGAGTGAAAGACCTTTGGTCTAGGAGCCTTATCTAATTAGGTAATCGTGGGCATGTTTTCAATGTTAGAAGGGACTTAATTTTATCCAAGAAACCCCCTGTAATTTCACAGAAGGAGGAAATGGAGCAGTGTTTTCCCTGTGTAGGAGCTGTGATTGTGCACATGGCCACAAGGAGCTAATGCCTGTCTGTGTGGGCTGGTTACGCTCTGGCTGCTGCACACAGGTCATGTTTGAGCAGCTTGTGAAAGGCAGCCTTGGCCAAGCCTGCTGCAACGCCGTGTGCAGAGATCAGCAGTGCCGAACGCAGTTTGGAAAGCACGAGGGATGCCAATTGGTGGGAAACATTTAAACTGGCAGGGAGAGCAGGTAACTGAGTGCAGCCAGCAGCCTACATAAGGATCACAGGTTCCATCTGGGATTTTGTGATGAATGCCTAATAAGCACATGGATTAGACGGGCAGAACTCTTCAAGCTTTTGTAAATGTAGCTGCTTGCGGGACACGAAATAACTGCTCTTGTAAAACTTCCCTTTGGCATTGCAATATTTAAAGTCCAGGAAAATAATGGAGAGAAAACTGGACAATAAAATGAAAAGGGAACTGTCTTACTTAGCTACTTTAAACGACAGAAACATATCCCTGGTGTCTATTCGTAAGCAGCAGGCAGCTTGTGATGTGCCCGAACTACTGATTATTGGTGAAAAGTCCAAGACGGCATCTCTGGTAAAAGCAAGTAGTAACTTGCAGAAAGAAGAGAAACTTTTGCAGAGTTACTCCATGGGAATGACAGAAGTCAATACAGTTGAAAAACAGGTCAGTGAGCGCTGGTGTGTGTATGTGTGTCTGTGTGCGTGCATGTTGGGAGGGACGTGGTGTTTCTGAACTGGTGGATTTAAAACAAAGCATGTTGGACATGGGTTGTATATTAAAGGAGGTTAAACCTTCTTTATCTAAATTGTCTCGATCCCCAGAATGGATGCCAGCCCCATAACAAGCATGCAAAGTCCCTGGGGATCCTCTGAAAATAATTGAAACTAGATGTTAATGATGACTTATGCCATAGAAGCTAATGAGCATGTTTCAGCTCCACCTCAAATAACACAGAGTGGTGATTCCTAGGAAGGAAACATAATAGTATTTCTCTTGAACTGCAATTGCTCCAGTAGTTTAACAGAAGCTCATACTAGTTTGGAATAACAGAAGCTGCAGAAACATTAAAAGGTTCTTATTGTAGGTAAGTAATTTATTTATATCTACTAAGTGGGTGCTAGTGAAGTTGTTGATAAATACATCTGTGTAATTTTTTTTTAATTCAGTGTTGTATATAACTGATATTTTTGGAGATTAACTGCTGTGGTAAAGAGACTTACAAAGATCAATGCTGATAGAAACATGATGAGGTTTATTATTTTTAAAAGAGTTTTGCTGTTTAAAATATATGTACACTGCAGTAATGTAGTTTGGATCCATGAATATTGTGAATATATAAGGAAAATAAACTCTCAGAACAAAGCTCAGTTGGTTTGGAGCATGGTACTAATAATGCCAAAGTTGTAGGTTTGATTCCTGCATGAGTTATTTGCTGAAGAGTTGGACTTGATGATCCCTGTGGGTCCCTTCCAGCTCAGAATGTTCCGTGATTCTGTGTTTTCATGTTCTTTGAAACTATGTGTACTTAGAATGGCTCAAATAGTGTCAGGCTGGAATTAAATAACAGCCAGAAGACACCAAATATATCTGAAAGCTTTTTCTGCCTCGAGTTACTTCTTGAATTATAAATGTTTGCTAGAAAACAATCATGACATAAATGACTTCGTTCTACCAAAGGATCCCTTCTCTGTATTCAGTTCATAGGGATATATATGTTACTTGTATTGGTGCTGTAAGGAACATCACAAAGAGGTTTGCCTTGTTTTAATTCTAAATTAGAAACATTTCGTTTACAGCAAGCCTTTCCCCTTTCCCATAAACCAAACTTGGTTTACACAGCTCCCTTTAATTTAAAAGTGCCTGTTAAGGTCTCTGAGGTTAGGCATCATTTTAGTAAAACTGGCTGCAACTGCCTAAATCTTTCCCTATCCTCTGTACTGTTAGAGAAGCCTAATCCCAGATGGGGAATAGCACTCACTTGGCAGAAGAATTAGTAGAATTAACTTAGTATTTTGGAAACAAAAACCTTATAAAGTCTGCTTTGTAGTAATATTCTCATTGAATCTTGACATTGAGGTTTAAAAGGTGTTCTTTCCCTCATTTAAGACTCAGGAACTGTTTGAAAAATATCAAATTGTGTTGTAAGTAGTTACTGAATATAGTAGCTACTGACATTTGTTAATCTTTGGGAGAGGAGAGGAGAAAGAACAACCAGTTATGATCTAATACATTTAAACAACATGCTCTAACGAGATACACTGAAAAACGTTGAGAAGGATGAGGAGTGAGTTTCTGGCTACTCTGTGTGACAGAGTGCTGCTGTTACAGGCACAAAATTGAAGACTCGTGACCTTTGATGTTTTTGTGGCTGCTCTGACCTCGTTTTGTTGTTCACTGTCTGCCTATAATAAACTGGGAAACATCTCAAGCATTTAATTATTAGTGTGTGGTTTTCAGTTGTGTGCTGCTGCCGCCTGAGTCCACAGCCATGAATCAGGCAGTTGTGAAAGAAGGAAGTAGGGAATGTAAAACACAGATAAGATAATTCTTCGGGCAGTTGTGTGCTCAAAGGTAAGAGGGCAATTTCAGCCCACAGGGGTACAGGGAAAAGAGCAGCCCAAAACTTCAGAACATAGTGGATGAGAGGTTCAGTGACCTCCAGCGTTTGTGGATGAGCAGGCAGGGAGAGGCAGAGGGGGGAGGTGCTGAGTGTGCCGGGCCCCATCTCCTCCCTAGCTGATTGCCTGGCATCACTTTGAGGAGCCTGGTGCTTGAGTTTTAGGATGTGAAAGTTGCCATCCCTGCAGGCTAGGCAGAGGAGGGCAGGAGAGCTGTGCCAGCCAGTGTTGTTGTCAGAGCAGACATGACACAAAGCAGATCCTTAAGAAAAGTTATCAAAGTTTTTTTATTGTGCTCATACATAGCATTTTTACACCCTTCTGACCCCATAGTGCACCCCATCCTGTTTGCCATCATCACACCACCCTCAAGTCCATTGGTGGAAGCACTGTTTTGAGAAAGCATCCCCAAAAATTCCAAAATACAGATAGATCCTGTTTTTCATGGTGTTTTTCGCAGCACAGATGTTCTTTGTTTTCTTCTACCTTTATCTTCTTTCTCTTCTTCTCACTGACACACAGGAATTCTGCTGGCTTCTTCTTTCTGTCGACTCTTTTGCTTCACCCACTGTGAGCCCTCTCCACAAGCCAAGGCAGGAGAGCTGTGCTGGATGAGCAGAGAGGAGCAGTTCTGTGCTGGATCTTGGTGTGGGTGACGCTCAGGGAACTGTGGAGTGTACCTCTCACAACCTCAGCCTTGTGCTGCAGAGACCAGGACCGTTATACTGGCATTTTGGAGGTGGCTGCATCTCTTGGGAAGGGAAAAACGTAGAAGGATGGCTTTCCTGGTGACAGGCCACCCCACCAAGTGACCATGAAACACAGCAATGGAGGCAGCATGGGGACTCAGCCATGGGTGGCTGGTGGCTGGGCTGTGAAGCCAAGGAAGGCACAAACCTTATGGAGTTCACAGCCATGGTGTTGCATCCATTCTCAAGACATGGCTCATCATGTGTGAGGATCTTACCCAGTGCTGTGGTTTCCTTGTCTTTGGGTTTTTTTCTGAGTTCAATTGTTTTTCTCAGATTTATTATGTATCCCTTTGCATATTTGAATGGGAATATCCAGAAGAAGGAGCCTGTTTTGGGGGACCATAGGTCAGCAAGATGCTGGCCCTCTAAGGGCAGCCCTCAATGGGGTGGGTTTTCCCCACCAGCCATACAGACCATGGGCAAGGACTACCTTTCCCAAATGGACCAGCCATGAAATGGATGCTATGATGCCAAGAGCTCTGTGCCAAACCAGGGCTCGAGACTTGGTGCTTCCAATCCAGCAGCATCTCCCTGCATATTCCTGTTGGATGATCTTCCTGCTGGCTGGAGGCAGTCAGAAAGGGGAGCATGAGCCTCTGCCTCTTCCAGCTGTTCCCAAAGCCCTGCTTTGCCCCAGGACAGGCATGAGTGCTACAGCTCCTGTCAGGGACATCAACGGTTGTTCTTCATGCCTTGTTTCTTGCTTTGAAATCTTCATACTGGGACTAGGGCTTCAGATGCCACACTCCTGCACATTTGCTACTCATCTTGGGTCTGGTTCAGAGCTTCTCCTGTAGATGCAAGTGTTTTCCAACCAGTTCTGATGCTTTCTTTAAAGCTCCCTCCATCTGCTTCTGATTCTGTGTCAACAATTTCTCAAATTTCTTCCTTTTTTTTTGTTTTGTTTTTTTTGTATTGTTCATATGAGCTCCATAACTTCTTTGTGTCAGGGTTCTTAGCTTTCAGAGTAGAGACTTGCTGTGCTGTGTGCTTTCAGTTCCAATTTTTACATGCAGAACAAAGGAGGGAAAGAATTGTCATCATTTCATGTGTAATTATTTGCATATTATTCACATAGATACTGTAAAAATATGCATGAGACTGGTAGAGCAAACAGAAATCTGGTGGAAATCTGCTCTTAAAAGTGAGCCATTCTCCTTTGGTGCGAGAGACAAAAGAGTAATTATAGCCAGTTCTTTCACACCTTTCCTTCTGGATGTAGAGTTAGATGCATTTCCATTATTTTGTTCGTATTTCTCTCTGGGCAGAAAAAAAGCAGAAGGCACTCAGTCTCAATGCCTGAGACTCCCAAGCACTTTTTTGGGCATTTTTGCCATTTTGGTGGTGACTGCTTCTCTGGTCCTCTTGCAATAGTATTTCTGAATTACTGTACAGCCTCACAGATGCCATTTGATGAGTGGGTGTTAGCTGGTATCAAGAAACCCTTTTCTGAGACCCAGCATGTGCCCAAGGAAAACTATGGACACATTTCTGTATGCCTCATCTTTGTGTCCTTACATGAATCTGCTGTTTTCCTCTTGTCTGGTATAGAAGCACCCTTCTTGCAAATACACACATAGATGTATTTCTGCCTGTTCCATTTTTGGGGTTCTTTTGAAGCTGTTAAAAACAATACTAAAGGTTTTGTAAATACTTTATTTGTACCTGTGCACATTTCTTGGTTTTGAGGGGAGATTCTTCAATGTTTTGGCACTTGTGTGTGGTTATTTTTTTTTAAGGGAAAGAAGCTTTTTAGTTTTCTTATATCTACATCCCCTCTCTATTTTTTCCTTGCTATTTAAAAATTTGTGTGAAAGGATTTTTCTCCTACAGAGCATAAGCATCAGGTATCAAAGTATCAAACAAACTATTTTTTGCCGATTCTTCTGAATGCTGGGATAGCTTTTTATGCAAAACAAAAAGCAGTGGCCAAGTTTTGAAGTTTCTGTGGCTTACAATGCATTGAAATAGTGGAATCAGTCCTTGCTTTTATGTTTTTCAAAAGACTGGATAACGAGAAATATTCTCTAATCTTTTTACACGATTAATTTGAATTGCTTTTATGTCACGGGGTACCTAGGAAAACTGAGATAATTAGTGAGCATGGGGGTGGAGGGAACACAGTGGAGGACATAGGGCCTGTGATGGTTCCTGAGTTCCATCTGCAAGAGGTGGCCAGACAGGCAGTGAAGCAGAGAGTGGAAGATGCTCATCTCCTCATTCTGTTTCACCAAAAGATAGAGAAGGCAAAATACCTTTGTCCTGTGAGCCAAAGTACATGCACAGGGTGAGCTTCTGTAATTGTCACACAGATTTCACTGGGATTTTGATAAGAGCAGGCCACTGTGAGCAGTGTCCTTGGAGAAGTGGGGACAGGGAAGAGGGGGGAGTGGACAATACTCGCGTAACACTTCTTGAGGCAGAATTTACAATAAATGTGAGATTGAGTTTAGGCTGCATCTGAAATGTGGTGGTTGGGAGACTGTTTTCAGATGTGATTTTTTTCCCCATGTGCAAGGACAGGTTATTATTTCAAATTGTGGGAAGTTATAACAATAGGAGGACACAAGAATGGGGGTGTCTTGGTTGTCTTTGTGTGGTGCTTAAACAGGACACCACATTGGCAGGGAAGTCTGACTAACTGTTAATGTTTTGTTCTGAGAGGAGGTGCCTGTGGCACATTTCCATGTATGTTGGCGATTTCACAAACTTAAGGGAAGGGAAGTGCAAGGAGAGCAGTGTCCTGGGTGCTGCCAGGCCTGTGGGAGGAGGAGGCAAAAGGGGATGCCAGGATAAAATATTCCTCTGATTCTTCTTCCCCAGCATCCCTGGAGTGCAGCCATGAGGCCGAGCAGAAGGGGAGGGAGCAGGAGGGAGAGTTTGCTCTGAGGATAATTGAGGGGCTGCACCATAATCTTGAAGAGCTGAAATTGCTCATTCCTCTTCCTGTTCTAACAAATACAGTATAGAAAAGGCTGAAAGCAAATTTCTTGTCTTAAATTTTTGCTGTTTTGGTTGTGACCCCTGACCTCATTATTCCCAAGCTGTCTAAGCGTAAAACAAAATCAAGTTAATGAATTTTGAATACTGCATCAAATGAACTGGATGCAGTCTAGTGTTATTAAGCAGTCGAAATGCTTCTCATCCATGCTGTGGTATCGAGAAGGGAGTTTTCTCATGGGTTACAGGATCTGCAGTACTGAAGCTGATCCAGTGGGCCCTTCTCCAGGCTCTCCCTGCAGTAATGCCCAGCATCAGGTGTTTTATTGAATGTCAGAGTGGCCAAGGCTTTGCAGGCAAGAGAACAGATTAATCCTAGTAGTTTTCATCTAGATCCATTTAAAGTTGCTTTAAATCATGGACATGAATTTTCATGTTCTTTCCATGAAATCTGACAATCTAGGACTTGTCCCTGCCCTTTTCAATCTTGATTATCACATGGCTCCAGCAATTTCAGATAGAGTCTGTGCCCTCAATAATTGTTCTGTGAGAAGCATTGACACTTTTTTAAAAAAAAATATTTATTTTCAGTTAAATTGAGTGCATTCATCTGCAGAGTTCCAGTATTGCAAAGCCCATGATCTGACTGAGAAACAGTTCACTTCTGGCTGGCCTGTTTCAGTACAGGCCATCCTGAAAATCAGTGTTGGATCAAATAAATGAGTTACTGTAGCACAATTTAGTCTTAGGTGCCTCACAAGTAGGTAAATAAAATTAAACCATAGTGAAAATATCTGCTTACACCTCTGTGTCTTTCAAGGTCTTTGTTAGATACAGATTTCAAGTTAAAAGGGTTATATATTAAATGCAGAGAACCCAGGCCTTTGTGTGCATGCATATAGCTCTTCAAATATCATGCAGCTGACCCTCCCTGCATCAACTTGTTTCAGGCTTCTGGAAACATAGTGATTCTGTTTTCTTGGGCTTTCTGGGTTTTTTTTTTGGTTTGGTTTGAACTCCTCCTGGGAAGTAGCAGGCTGGCCAAACTGGGCCAGTTTATGACCTTTTTGGAGAGGCAGTCAGCACACTGTGACCCACTGAGCCAGTGACAGTGTGCTCTAAAGAGCAGCTCAGGCTGTGTGATGGACATGTGCTGTGGCTGCTGAGAACTGAAGTTTTAAATGACTTGGTTGGGGTAGGAATACTGAATCAATTCTGCTTTTATATCCTAGTCAGTATTTTCTAAATTGCTGCTCAAAAGACTGTCACAAGCCTGATTCATCATCATGGGCATAAGTCACTGATAATATATATTCAAAGCGTAAAATAACGTTGTAAAGGGGTTTGGCCATCTTGACTAACTTGAGAGCACTTCTAGTATGTGCTTGTGAAGCACATATGAAGCATATGTGCATATGAAGATTGTTGTTGCTTTTACAAGGCTGAAGATACAAGCATTTATTTTTACTTTTCCACTTTCTCCTTAGGCTTTGTCCAACATTGATTCTCCTCCTGGTTGTGAGCTGAAGCCTACAATGAAACATAATTTTGCATTTGACAACATGGGCTATGAGGAGAGCTCTGAAACCATGCCCTCCCCACCTTCCCAAGAGAATACTGTGGTAGTCAACATTGTGGGAATGACTTGCCAATCATGTGTTCAGTCAATAGAAGGCCAAATTTCCAAGGTGAAGGGCATTTTGAGAATTAAAGTGTCCCTTGAGCAGAACAATGCTGCTATCAAGTATCTGCAGTCAGAAATAAGTCCTGAACAGATTTGCCAGGAAATTCTGGATATGGGCTTTGATGCCAACATAGCAGAAGAGAAGTTGACAACAGCCACTGTAAATTTGCCAAGCTTGAAAGAAGCAGTAGTTAAACTTCGGGTAGAAGGCATGACATGCCAGTCCTGTGTCACCACCATTGAAGGAAAGATTAGGAAACTGCACGGTGTAACAAAAATCAAGTTGTCACTTGATAACCAAGAAGCAATTATTGCTTACCATCCTTACATCATTCAGCCTGATGACCTCAAGAGCCACATCAGTGACATGGGGTATGACTGCACCGTTAAAAGTAAATCAGCTCCTTTGAAGCTGGGTGCCCTTGACCTCCAGCGCTTGCAGAATGCAAACCCCAGGGAGACACCTGCAAGTCTCGAGAGTGATGGGCTGGATCCGCTGGTCACCGAGATGGGTAGCACAACAACAGTGACACTACAGATAGAGGGCATGCACTGCAAGTCCTGTGTCAGGAACATCGAAGGAAATATATCAGATCTTCCTGGAATAACAAGTATTAAAGTGTCTTTGGAGCATAAATGTGCTGTGGTACAATATAGCCCAGATTTAATCACCCTGTCAGCTTTGCTGCAAGCTATTGAATCCCTTCCACCTGGAAACTTTAAAGTAAGCCTCCTAAATGATTCAGAAGCAAATAAAGCAGCACCTCCCTCAGGTACTTTCACATACAATGTCATCAGACAGCCACCACAAGGCACGATGGCTGTTATTAAGATTGATGGCATGACCTGCAATTCCTGTGTACAGGCCATAGAAGGGGCCATAGCACAGAGGCAAGGAGTGCAGGATGTAGCAGTTTCTCTAGCTGGTGGTACTGGGACCATACACTATGATCCAGCTGTCACTAGTGGAGAAGAGTTAAGAGCTGCCATAGAAGACATGGGATTTGATGCCTCTGTGCTGACAGGTAACTTTTTTCTTCCGCGGGTCACGTGCCAAGGTGGGTCTCGCAACGTCGGCATTGAGATTCCTTTCTGGAGAGAAACTCTTAAAGCATCACATTGACATTGTCTCTTCCGAATGCCTGGCCTGATCTGACCTCCCTTAGCAAGGGATAGAGGTTCCAGCTGTAAAGCACCTTGTTTCAGCCCTCAGTGACTGCAGTTACAGTGCTGAGGTAGAAAGCCTTTCATATAGCTCATTCCCTTACCCCCTGAATAGGTGTCCTCCTATGTCCACAGGCTGCTGTAAGTACCAAACCACCTATCAAACCAATTGTTTACATTTATGTTCCAGAATACTAAAACATACAAACTTAATGAGGTATCTTTCATTTAAAAAGGTTTTTTATCTAGCTAAAACTACTTTTTAGTGTCTTTAGCCTTTGACATTTATTTCTTGAGTACTTTTACCTGCCTTACTTCACTAAACCTTGCTTTAAGCAATGTAAGTGGCAAAATTCAGGTACTCTTTGGTGGGAACAGCTGCTTTTACATGCCAGCTATAGCAGTGCATGCATTTTGTACATGTGTTCAATGTTTAAAAAGTTGTTTTGATGCACAGTCTCCTCTTTTGCAAATTTTGAATGTGGCAATTTTTACCTGCTTCAACTAAACATATTTGCTTTGAAATACTGATGTAGTTTACCTGAAATTAATTAGTTAGATCCCAGAAAAACACATTCACTTCTCTCATGGGTCCAATCCCTCTGATTCTGTGATACTACTACAAATGGGGAAGAGCCTGTATGTGATGTTTAATTATAATTTGTTTGGCTTATAATTTGTAGGTAGGAGACCTTCTACTCCATCTGGGAAAGGAGGGAATCCCCTGTGTTTAACATGTTTGGAAGCAGCTTCTGCTCCTTTACACAAACCTCTGCCCAAGGGAGGTAGTTTGTGAACACAGCTGGAGCTGTTGTGTGTCTGTTCAATACCTGGCAAAGAATAAAAATGTTTGCAAGAAGTCTGTGTTCAGGTCTCTGGGGTGCTTCCAATACTCATTTTGCAGTACTTGCAGTGTGAATACTGTGCTGTAAAGAGAAACCTGTTGAAAAACTTGTTGTTTTCCTTGTTTGAGATGAAGTGATATGAGTTCTGCATAGATGGCAACAATGACAGAATGGTTATGACTGGACTACATTCTCAGTGCTGGATAAGCACTGTCTAGATACCAATATATCTTTATCAAGTGGAGATAGCTGACAGCTATAGGCACTGAAATTGGAGGGAATCATTTGCCATCTGAATGTGGAAAGCTAGTTCTGTGGAGTTAGATGGTCAAGTGGTACTGGTGAATATGTATTTTTACAAGCTTGGTTGCAACCTATATTATTTCCACATAGAGACCAAGGCTATCATGTCACCTTCTAAACAACTATGAGTGTTTGTGTGGTTGATAAATGTGACTTGTTTTTACTTTTGTGTCATCCAATCACACTGTAAATAGTTCAGTGTATTGTGCATTTATTCAAGATACTGCCACTGGAGAACACAGGAGCCAGCCTGATGCCAGCAAAGCTGCTGTGCAGCCTCAAGCACCAGAGCCTCGTCACCAAGGCGATGCCTCAGATGCTCTTCCAGACAGTTCTCACCCTGATGGGTCAAACCAGCTCAGTGGAGCCACAGAAGAAAAGTGTGTTTTACAAATCACAGGCATGACCTGTGCATCGTGCGTGTCTACCATTGAAAGAAAGTTACAGAAAGAAGATGGTAATAAATTTAAGATTCCTATAATGAGTCTAATAATAAGGGATGATGGGATGGAAGAGATATTCTATGAGATTAATGGAAGAGGCTGTCATACAGCATCTGGAAGTTAAATACACTTAATGCTCTTAGTGCTAACGTAACTATGCCACTGTTTAACTATCCTATTGGGCCGATGGACAAACATGATGAACATACTTGTAACAGGTTGTAATGTGATAAAAAATTCAAGTAAGTCTGAAGACAAGAACACAGAAATGGTTGTCATTTAGTTTTCAGGGCCTTGTTGGTTTACAAAGCAATCCATCTCCTCCAGAGCCGTTGAGAACTCGGGCAAGCTCGAGTGTATTTGCACAAGCAAGTGCAAACAAATGAATGACTCCACTGCCAGGGTAAGCTTAGGCACAGTGGTGTTTACTGGTCTAGAAGTCTGCAGGCTGGAGCTGCCTTTCCTCTGGCCTTGCAGAAGATTAACAGATGAGCCTTAGCAATGTCTGATTCCATTTATATCAGCATGCCTTTGGGAGGTTTTGCTTATTGGTTACTCTCTCCCCAGTTTTCCTGTGGTGGTCTCACTGCCTTGATTTAGAAACTAAAAAAAGTATTAGCTCTTCAAATATTTATTTTTTTTTTTCCTTGTGATCTCTATGTTTTGATTTTCCATTCTAAATGTAGATTTCTATGGGCTTTTTATTTATTAAAAAAATAAGGAAGGGTGGGGAGCAAGAAAATAAAAAGGTCTAGCATTGTGCTGCAGGGCTCATTCCCAACTACAAGAGTCTAGGGTAGACCTTGCAGCAGTGGATGTAAAGATTGCTTCCAAACATCCTTTCTGCCTCATTAGATCATAGGAAAGATTATCTCCTTCTATGTGTAAATCTTGCAGTTCCTCTCATTGCTAAAGAGTAAACTCAATGCAGCTGTGTCTCTGTAAAAACTTTGCTATTGTGACTAAGGAACGACAGTAGAAGGAGGCAGAGAGATATCAGAGGCTTATAATATCTCTAAGTTGTTAGAGTCCTTACTGACAGTCACTTGTAATATTTTATTTTTCTTTTCCTCAAAGGAGCTACATTATCTAATATTTTTATTGCCTCTGCAGGAATTGTTTCAGTGTTGGTAGCACTGATGGCTGGTAAAGCAGAGATAAAATACAAGCCAGAACTCATACAGCCTCTTGAAATAGCACAGCTGATCCAGAATTTGGGTTTTGAAGCTACCATCGTGGAAAATAATGCAGAAACAGAAGGACAAGTGGAGCTTCTTGTAAGTCACATGTATTTGAAATTATATGTTTGTTTTGGAAAAGTCAGGTCTGGAAGACTCATTTTCTTGCAAATAGCTTTGCTGAGCTTCAGCAGCTCAATTCTGGCTGGTGACACTTTTTTTCATAATTGCTGAAAAGACAAAATCAACTTGTCTTAGAAGAACCTATCCAAAAGCACTGAAATAAAAAGTGATAGGTCTATGCACAGATTAGACTTTTCTTAGCGAGCAGAAATGAAAGAGAAGTTTTCCATTGAGGCACTTTAGTACAGACACTGAGAAACTGAGAATGTGTCAACAAATACATATTGCTAATGATGTTGTCTCAAGTACGCTACAAATATTGGGTGAATGTGGGGGATTTCTAACTACTCAAGATTGCCTTTTCTTTAGATTACAGGGATGACTTGTGCTTCTTGTGTTCACAATATTGAATCCAAACTCATGAGAACAAATGGCATATTCTCTGCCTCAGTTTCACTTGCGACTAGCAAAGCTCACATCCTGTTCGATCCTGAAATTATTGGACCTCGAGATATTATAAAAGTAATCAAGGTAGGCTTTGGAAAATTTTTATGTATGGACAATTACATGGTGAAATTTAGAAGGAAATAAAGCAGCTGATATTTGAGAGGTTTCACTGATTTTGTAGATGCTCTAGTTATTGCCATGTTTTTATGCTCTTGTGGTGAGGCTGCTGTGCTCCACAGGAATGAATAAGCTCCCCAGATGTTACTCTAAAAACTCACTAAAAACTACAAAATGAACCTTTTTCATCTTCATCTAGCAAAAGTGTCATATATTCATTTCTTGCCATTCTGTGTGTGGAATCACAGTCATTAAAATGAAGTATTGCTAATTCAGAAAAAAGTACTTCTTTCTCTTGACAGTGACAAAGGCTGTAAAAGAAGTTCTGCCACAGCTCATGCCACAAGTATTACAGATCTCTGTATACAGCATCTATTCCCACATCTTTTTGAATGGAAACAGCTTGTGATAAAGCCTGATATTAAATGAAAAAATCCTGGTTTACCAGTAATCACACAGATCATAAAATTTACTGTTACCACAGCTCAAAGTGGGTTTTTGTGGACAAAACTTTTTTCTTTTTTTGTCCCACCAGAAGGGAAGAGATCATACTGTTTAAGGTGCATGCAGTCAGTAGTCAGGAGGACAGCAGAGACTGTTTGCCTTCCGTGCTATAGAGTTATTTACTCAGAAAAGACCACAGAACTGATGCACCAGCAGTTATTAACATGTTAACTAGTAGACTGTTCAGACTGGCAGAATAATTCTCTAAAGCATACTTTGCCACAGAACCATTTCATGATGCAGGTAGGAAGTTTCAGTGTATTGTTCTTGCAAGTGTGCTTTGAGTTTTAGGGCGGTTTGGGCAGGAGGCACTGTTCTACTGCAGTAACTCACCCAAGCATCACTCAAAGCTGGATTTTTGCTTGTATTTGTTTCTAGAATGCTTTTCCCTGCAGTTTGTTGTCCTATGGGTTTAAACTAACTTTAGACACTAATTTTCAACTTCAGGTGTGTTTATTAAACTCTAGTGTTAGGGTCTTGCTCACAAGGCTGTTTATCTCCCAGTGGCTTGTGCATTTTAACTTCCTTTGTGCTATGTCCCCTGTTTACTGATTATTCCAGTGGAGGTGGAAGGGTATATATTTTCCTTTAGAAGGAGTGCAGTAGAATTCCACCTGTCAGTGGAAGCTCCCCATGCCTAAGAACTTGGACACTTACTGCATCTATACACTGTGATCATGTATAGGTACCAGAAGCCTTTTGCAGTCCAAATTTTGAGTAGTGACTGAAATATCCTCTCATTTTGGCAGAATCTAAAAATAATTTAGTTTATTCAATTGGGGGTTGGAATTTATTAAACATGGAACAGTGTCCTTTTCTGACATTTCTTCTAAAAGTAGTGTCATTTAAATGTGTTGTAAGTAATATGGTTATCTTCATCAAAACTAACTTATCTTTCCTTCTCTTTCAATAAAAAGGAAATTGGCTTTCATGCTTCTGTGGCTAAAAGAGCTCCAAATGCACATAACCTGGATCATAAAAAGGAAATACAGCAGTAAGTATTTCTTTTCTGTCTCATTAATGAACATGTCTAGATCATATCTTGTAACTCTGCTCCTCCCAGCACACTTCCCAGTTAATTAGATTACTCTTGTGCAAAGCATATTTAATTTTACCATTCGCCATTTGGTTCAAGTACTTTTATTACTTTTGTTAGTTTTAGTTTTTAACTGCCAGAAGTCTATACAGTTAAACATGTTGCAGACACTGAAGCTGCTCCAAAATACTGGATCTTTGCAAATATCCCAAAGCTGTGTCTTAGTCCAGTGCTAATAACCCCAGCCCTGCACTACCAGCACAGCTGGGGTGTAAAAACCCCATGGATTTACAGTTTTTCTTTTTCAGGTGGAGGAAATCTTTCTTGTACAGCCTAGTGTTTGGTATCCCTGTTGTAGTCATAATGGTTTATATGCAAATACCCAGTGGTGAAGACCATGGATCAAAGGTGCTGGAACAGAATCTCATTCCTGGATTATCTATTTTGAATCTTCTCTTCTTTATCCTGTGCACTTTTGTTCAGGTATGTCCATACTACTTCCTGGGGGTTTGCCTTCTATTCATTTCCCATTTATGTAATCTGATGTGATAAAGACTAATGGACTAAGACTAAGCTAATGGAAAGATTAAGTGGATTAAGCCTGCCCTCTTGTCTGTACCACCTATGCAGAACAAAGTGGCACTTTTCTGCAAGTTGTCCATTCTGTATTTACTCATAGGTCTTACTCCCACCAAAGTTGCATCAGATGGTTTCCAAGTGGAGAAGGTAATATAAAATAAAGAGATCCCTGATCATCTGAAAACTAATTGGGTAGCTGTAGGTAAATCCTTTCATTTTCTATGCCTTGTTTCCTTTGCATTGCTGAGGAAAAGGATGATATTTGCTGGTTTTGAGAACAAGGAAGTGCAAATGAGAGGATGTCAATGGGGTCAGTCTCCTAGCAGACCTGAAGTTACATCAGTATCAAATTCGCTTGGGTCAGCAATGCCTTCCCTTATGTACTACATGATTTTAATTCTGCTATGGCAGTATTATGTACTCTGTGGTTACTAATCTTCATACAAGTCTGTCCCTGCTTGCACCAACAGTTCCTTGGTGGATGGTATTTTTACGTACAAGCTTACAAGTCACTGAGGCACAGGACAGCCAATATGGATGTGCTCATCGTATTGGCCACGACGATTGCTTATCTGTATTCCTGTGTGATCTTGATAGTAGCAATCATTGAAAAGGCAGAGAAAAGCCCTGTCACGTTCTTTGACACTCCTCCGATGTTGTTTGTGTTCATTGCGCTTGGCAGATGGCTGGAACACATAGCCAAGGTAACTCATCTTCACACAAATACTCTGCATTTATGATAGGAGTAAACTATTCATGGAATTTTGTGTCAGCTGTTTCTGGTGTAATCTACAATATGAAAAGTTGTTTAGAGTTCATTGTGTTAAGTACATATAAGGATTTATATATCTCAATGTATCTTAAACATTAATCTCTGTTTCTTAGGGTAAGACCTCAGAAGCTCTTGCTAAGCTTATGTCTCTTCAAGCCACAGAAGCCACTGTGGTGACTCTAGGACCTGGCCACTCTATTGTCAGGTATGTATTTATGAATCAAAATCCCTTCAGCCTGCCTGGTCACTGGCCAGGCTTTATCCAGTTAACCTGAAAGCTGATGGCATAAGTAAACTGCCTGTTCTGCTTGTGTCTTTTGCAGGGAGGAGCAAGTACCTGTTGAACTGGTTCAAAGGGGTGATATTATAAAAGTTGTTCCTGGTGGAAAGTTCCCAGTGGATGGAAAGGTCATTGAAGGCAGTTCTATGGCAGATGAGTCTCTCATTACTGGTAACTTCCCTCATCTTACACAAAGAAGTCAAATCTTCTGGAACTCTTTATTACAAGAAAAGAGAGCAGACACAATCCAAACACTGCAGTCTGAATAGCCTCCCACCTTAATTGATGCTGTGGCTTTGTGAGCTTGAATTCAAGTCCTGCATCTGTGCACATCCCAAAAAACTGAAGGTTTTCCTCGCAGTTTGGCCACTTACTAAGCTACTGGTGGGATGGAATTGTTGTTATTCCAGCAATCTGGTGGGAGTTTCCCCTGGAATGTATTTGTAGAGATGGTACCTTCTCAGAAATAAGTTCTAAAGGATGATGTGGAAATATTGATGAGATGCTGGACTCTGTATGACAGGGCTCTCTGAGCAAGGAGGGGGAAAGAAAACCTCAAAATTTGATATGTTTATGTGTTTATTAAGGGTCACTGGACTTCTTTACATCTTCTGAAATTTTCATTTCATTTTGTACATGTAGTAAAGATTCAATGATTCTTATCAATAAAGGATATAAAAAAATTATATTGGCATTGAATTACTTGTTCTAGTTCTGTTTTTACTTGGGAACAGGGACACCTTTAGCTTCAGGGAACCAGTTGTTTTCACTACCACTAAAAACAGAGAAGATAAAGATGTTGTAGTATTCTTGCAGAGGTAGCAGGAGAACAGGAGCTTTTCCACAGGAAAAAAAAAAACAAAAAACCCACTTTCTGGCCTTTGAAAACTGAGGGTCATGGAGTTAAAGACAGATTTCTTAAACTCCCATTGCTATGTAAGGTGTTAATGGAGAAATTCTGACAAGTACCTTTTCCAACCAATTTGTTCCTTGTCCTTTTGAGGGATGGTATACTGAAAAGTTACGACCAAGGAAAGAGCATTTGCTTTGAAATTAATCCTATGAAAAGTTTTATAAAAGTATGACACTACTTATCCATGTCTTCACCAGAGAGAGATACACAGCATGTGACTTCTGGTCATTATTGCTTAGCATACTGATTTTGCTAACATAGAATGAGCTGTGTGCTGATGGATTATGCTGTTAGGGGTATTGGCTCATTTAATCTTACCTTTTCTTTCCAGGGGAACCTATGCCAGTCATTAAAAAGCCTGGGAGCACAGTGATTGCTGGTTCTATAAATGCACATGGCTCACTTCTTGTTAATGCAACTCATGTTGGTAGTGATACCACTCTGGCACAGATTGTGAAATTGGTGGAAGAAGCTCAAATGTCAAAGGTAAAAGAAGAAAACCTTGTTCACAGATTCTGATTGAATAATAAAAGGATTCTATGTTTTGATACTTACACACTTCAGCAAACTGTTTTTCCAGAGCTATTTTGTATTTTCATGAATTCTGCATATTTATGTGTTTTGACCACAACCATGTAAATAACTGGGTTTATTTTTCATAGGCACCCATCCAGCAACTGGCAGATAAATTCAGTGGATACTTTGTTCCATTTATCATCATCATTTCAACTGTGACATTGATAGCATGGATCACAATTGGTTTTGTGAATTTTGATATTATTAAAAAGTATTTTCCGGTAAGTAGTTTTATTATTACAACTGGATTTTTTGTTAAGATATCTTCCAGTGTAATTAACATACTTTTTCTATATAGGTGTTGATGTTATGATCACTCTGAGAGGAGCTCAGTTGGTTAGATAATTACACCATGATTATGGGTTCAATCCTTGCATGGGCCTTCTGCTTTAAGAGTTGGACTTGATGATCCTTGTGAGTCTCTTCCAACTCAGAATATTCTGTAAATACTTCTGTAAAAAAACAGTATTTTCTACACAGAGCAGATAATTACACTATTTAAAATCTCTCTGCAGGTGTAAATATATATTTTCATTTACCTCTTAGTTTTGCATGGGGTTCTTACAAATGGAAATTGTTGACAACATTTCTGGACTAAACATGATCTATAGCTGCATTGCAAGGAGCTGAGCCATTCCTGTTATGTCTGAAATTTTTGTGGGCATTCCTGTTTCTGATGGCAGATAGTGGTTTTGTCTTGAGAAAGAAGCTGAGCTTCTGTTACCTTTAGGATGTGTATTTGCTATGCTCAGGAACTGGGGGGATCTGTGTATCTTGAAATAGCATTCTCCTTCACTAAGGTTTAAAGGAAATCACAACAAGTTATGTTGACACGTGCGAGACTCAGAGCAGAGAGCGTACTTGAGCAGCAAAAAATCCAGGAAATACTGCCATAAACAATTCATAACATTGACCTTTCTTTAGCATTACAGTAAGAATAATGGATTGATTTCCTTTACTGAAGTTTTCCAGATAAATGTGTTTTCTGAAATGACTGTGATTGATTGATTGTACACCTATGTTATCTGCTGTCAGGAATCTTACATATCTTTCTTACTTTTTTTCCCCCCTCTTCCCTCTTCTTGCAGAATCACAGCAAAAACATTTCAAAAGCTGAAATAATACTGAGGTTTGCATTTCAAACTTCAATCACTGTGCTGAGCATTGCATGCCCTTGTTCTTTAGGCCTGGCTACCCCCACAGCTGTAATGGTGGGCACTGGAGTGGCTGCACAGAATGGTATTCTCATCAAAGGTGGAAAACCCCTGGAAATGGCACATCAGGTTAATAGTTTATTCTGTACTTTTGTAGCTTACCCAGCTATTGCTACATGAAATATAATTCCCCAGGAAATCCTGCAGGTCCAAAGAAAGACTGTGGAAAGTTGTTCTTTTTTTTTTTATTATTATTTTTTTCTCTTTAATTGATTGCTGCTTGTTAAGATTAAGAAGAGAAATCAGATCTTCAAAGTAGTCACAGCAAAGTGTTGAGAGCCAACATATTCTACAATCTCATGATTGTGAGGTTGCTAATCCTCTTCATGGCCTCAGAGGTTTCTGATTTTACTTTGTTTACCTCTTCTGCAATAGAGCCCGATAATCCACTTGGGTTTTTCCTTTCCTCTGAGACCTGTTGTGAAATGCTTATTGTTCATGATCAGTAGCTTAAAATGCAGAATGAAAGAAAAAAAGAAAATTATTTGGAGTTGTATTTGTGGAGTTGTTTTGAGACAAGAAAGAGAGAAGGGAGGCAGAAAAAAAATCTTCTAAGACATCAAAACTATGCAAAGAGGAGGAAGAGGTGAAGGAGAAAGAGGTTTGACATGTCCAGAGCTGCTGAAAAGAAAATGAATCAAAACCATGCTGTGTTAGGCTGTATTAGACACATGCAGAACATTTTAAGGGAGAAGGATGGTAACAGCAAGTTAATTAGACTGATAATTCTTGTTCTTACTTGACCAGAAGTTTTTCCAAGGCTCTGGGAAAAAAATAAAAAAGAATGCTAATTATTGCTGGGAATTTCTGCCTTTTGGATCCAAGCAAGGCTATGGTCAGGGCTTTGAAAATTAGGTGACCTGTTGGATTCTGCAAGGTTGGTGTGTTGGAATAGCTGGATATAGAAGAAGTGCCATACTTAGTACTTAGTACTTTGCTAAGTTTTGGGGGTTTGGGTTTATTTTCAGGGTTAGAATTGACTTTATCTTTGGGTTCCAGTATATGTGGGGCTGTAGTTCTTGGTTCATTTCTGATTCCTCAAGACCCGCTGTCCTGGCTGACAAGTGATGGCTGAGTTTGTTGAATAGCATGACATCGATTTTGCTTAGGTTGTTGTTTCTTGAACTTCTTGCACTCTATACATCTTCTCTATCATCGAACCAATTCCTGAGTCGTCTTTCCTCAGTGTTATTGTTAACTGTTCAGAACTGCTTTCAAAAAAGCCTTCTTTGCATCACATACCTTGTGGTAAAAGTGGTTAAGGTGCCATTACATGAATCCTGCATGTGAATGCATGTACTGTCCTTTGTGTATGCATCTCAGTCCTACAATTACACTGCTGTCTGAGATCCTGATATGGGCACAGGATGATCTTGTAGCTTTATAAGGAATGAATAAGAAAGTATAAGGAGGCCTGCTGCACAGATAGTTCAAGGTACCTACAGGAATCCCTGCTTCTCTGGATTTATTCTGTCTTTGTGTGGATATAGTCAGCTGTTTATTAAAGCCTTGATTGTATTTATGTGCCATATGCATACAGGCCTGCAGGGCTTAGGCAGTAACTGTGTTTTTTTCTTGCAGATCAAGACTGTGATGTTTGATAAAACAGGGACCATCACCTATGGAGTTCCAAAAGTCACGAGGGTGCTTTTGATGGGAGACACAGCTGTGCTCCCCCTGAAGAAGGTACTGGCTGTTGTTGGTACAGCAGAAGCCAGCAGCGAGCATCCTTTAGGAATGGCCGTCACTAAGTACTGCAAAGAGGTACTTAGCCTTCCTCTTTCATCCAGGGTCTGAAGGCATCTGTGAAAATGCTGCAGTGTTGAACAAAATGGTCAGGTCCCACAGGAAAAGGCCTGCCTAAACAGTAACAGGCTGGAAAGTTAGGAGATTGCATGGTTGTGCATCTTGGTCTGGACATTACCAGACCGCGTATCTTAAGCTGTGCTTTTCTGGTAACAATATGGAGTTCTGAAGAAAGATATAAATTTATCTTGCTAAATTTATCTTGAACTAATGAGAAAATAAGGAATATATGCAGGAGAAATACTTAAAATAACATCATGAAGCAAATGTATATGATGACATTTCATATTACCTGACTATAGTCACTTCTATTAGTCACTTGCTCATTTGAATAAACTAGGCAAAAGGCTCTAAAGCTTGAATATTAAACTGTATTATTTGTGAGTTTCACAAATGAATTAATAGATGACTTAAGTCTTTGCAAGTTTTACATATCCTCAGAGGTCATTTGTATAAGTCATGTGTTCCTCAAGCTTCAGGAAGAAGTAAAACACAAGTCATAGCAAAAATAGGAAGCCTATGTAAATAAAAAAAATATGTCTGCTAAGAAAAATCATTAATTGATTTAGGAAAAATAATTTAAAAATATGTATCAAATTTGCTATATCTTTCAGTGATAAAATTTAGAAGTAAAAACATAAATATAGAAGGAAAAAGAGAATATAAGCAATGAACCAATTGCCTTTCTTGTATTTTACATTTTTTATTTAAAATTTGTCCTGACAGTTCTGTAGTCATCCCATGCAGTAGCTATTACTGGATCATGGCTTATATGAATTGTCATGCTATCCTGTTGGCTGATGTTCTTACCACCTGCCTTGTCATGCCTGTGTTTTAAGATCACTGAAAGCTACATATAGTTCCAACTTCCAGAGACAACCCAGAATAACTTGTTTACCAATTAATATTTTCTCCATTCTTTTTGTAACTTGTAGGGTCCTGATAATCCCTTTATCTCATCTTGAAGGTACTTACTGACTTCTCTCCCTAACTCAACAGAAAAACCCAGTTTCCCTAACATCCAGACAGATCCCTCCAGGAATTAGATACAGTTTTTCACTGTACTCTTACATATATACAAAAGGTCTGATACGCCACAGACAATTGTCTGTGAGGTTAATTAGAAATTGCATCTTTTAGAAGCTGAATGGCTTAATGTTGAAATATTTCTCTTTTGTTCCTAGTTTTGGCTGAAGTCATGAACCACCAATCTCATTTTTTTATCCTCAGATTACTAGAAAAAGCTGTTCCTTATGGTTTGCTGGTGCTAGGGATGAGACCTGGCTGTAATCTCTATGGCTGCCCCTTTCTAGAAGTCTAAGCCACAGCACACCCAGAGCATCCTTATTTTTAGTTCAGTGCTACTGATAGTCCAGGCTAGTTTTCAGTTGGTTAGTCAGTCAAGAGGAGCAATGAGCTCTTTTTGGTAAGAGTTATCTAATATTTGTACCCCACACGGGCAGCACAGATTGATGGTGGCCTCTGGTTACATCTTCAGGAGCTTGGCACTGAGAGCCTGGGATACTGCATTGACTTCCAGGCAGTCCCAGGCTGTGGTATCAGCTGCAAGGTCGGAGGAGTTGAGGCCATCCTTGGCACAGCTGAGGAAGGTCCCAACAAGCTGGATGCTAACAGGAGTGGGGAAAGCAGTGCTCCTCGGGGAGATAATGCAGTGATCACACTCTTGGAATCACCAGGTAAGTGATTATCTGCTCCTGTGCCAGCTGCAACATGAGGGAGAATGAATCAACAGCACCAACCACCTACCAGGCTCTGTACAAGAGAAAGGTGGATATGGGGCACAAGAAGGCAGAGAACAGGAGGGACAAAGATGTGCCTTAACAAAAACTGAAGCTCTCTTCTCAACTCTTGATCTCTCTCTGCAACTCAGAAACTTAAATTAGGTACAGTGATGGGTACTTAAAAATTCCATACAATACACAGACAATAAGGCATACCCAGTGGTGCTCCCTTTGGACAGAAGGATGGTCCAGCAGACAGCAAAGTTTGCCTTTATCTTCCTATTTAGAGCAGTTACCTTTAACGCATATTATCTTACTGCGACTTTTCATATGCTACCCTTTAGTTCCATATTAACTTGGACCTTTTGTTTCCTGTTCATATATCTCTCAAGGCACTTAATTAGAAAAAAACAAACCCCAAACCCAAAACTATTCAACAGATGCAAAACAAAGTGTCCTGTATCTACAAACTGATTTTAGTGCCTGTTTTTTTTGATTAGGCAATACATTCAGATTTGTTTCAGACTCTCTGGAAGCCACTTTGCTATTTGGTAGTGTAGGAGAGAAAGAAAAGGTATTTAAAGCCTTCCTTAAGGAGCTCATCAGTTCTCTTCAGAAGGCTGTGGTGCTCTTGACCTTTCTGAGAAAGCTATTAGAAGAATTAAATAGAAGGAGAACTTCAATCATCAGAACTGTGCCATTTTTGAATGGTGCTAATGTAATATTTTCTCACCTGCTTATATGATTCTTGTGAAGTTGGATTGAATTCGTAATGAGGTGCATTGTTTGTTAGAACTACACTACTTTTTTCTTGTCAGAAATAGCCTTTATATTTGAAAGTCATTAGTTGTGAGAACAAAGCAGGATGTCATTTACTAAATGCGTATACCGCACTTACTCAGAGAAACAATGCCAGCTGACAAAGACAAACATGAACAAGTACTTCCAATAAGTTCATGATGCAGTTCTCTGTGTAAACAGGCACAAATTGAGTCCTGAAAGAGAAAACTTTTATGAGGCTGTCTTCAGGCAGTGCCTCCAGCTAACTTGTCTTCCTCAAACATCTCTGCTTGTGTACACAGCTTTTGAGATGCTCATTTTTCTTTTTGTCTGTGCACAAAGGTCCGTCAGCTTCTCAGAAATACTCGGTGTTGATCGGAAATCGTGAGTGGATGCGACGCAATGGCTTGAATATTACAAGTGATGTAAATGATGCAATGACAAACCATGAAATGAAAGGACAGACTGCCATACTAGTGGCTATAGATGGTAACTGCTCTTCCTTAGAGTGACTTAACAAATATGAGTCAATCCTACTGCAGAACGAATGAAAACAATCTGAAGCAATTGATCACTGGCTTAGTGTCAAGAAACTACTAATCTTTTAGTTCAGAACTGCTTCTGAACTGTGAAGTATCAAGGTGTTCTTAAAAGAAGCTTTCACCACAGAACAGTGTTTATAAGGTTTTGTTGTGTAGTTTTTAATTCAAGAATTAATTTCTGAACCCCCTGTTGTCTAGGATCATTGTTCAAACAAACAGTGCCAATACAGTGCCATGTCCAATCCTTAATTTACATCAGTTAAGGATCATGGACCAACCTATCACATCACTGGTTTCAAAAAATGCAGTGAATAAACATGGTGATTCATTAGATCAGTCAAGTATAATGGATTAGACTTAAATGAATTTTGCCAGGAGGGTTCTGTTCCATGCCATGCAGAAAGAGATCCCAGATCCCTAGATATGAGAAATTATTTCAATGGTGATAGATTGCCAGAGCACCTGTGAACTTGAAATGATGCCAGTGATTAATTTACTGAGCAAATATTCTTGGTGCTCCTAGAGAGCAATTTTGGAAAGAATTTGCTTGGTAAGGAAGTGTTGATGCACATTTGAGCCAATGTACTGGAAGGCAGATGCAAGACTTCTCAATGAAAGTAATTGTACTAGATATCCAACCCTGAAAGACTAGGGGACATAAAACCCAACCCTATATGCTTCCTCTGGGAGGAGTGACTTCAACATCTGACCTGGGCACAAATACCAACACTTTCTCTGACCCACTATCATATTTGTCCATACCATAAAACATAGAAGTCAGGCTTGTTTAAAAACTACTCTCCTCCTCATCTTCCTGATCCCTAAATATCAAAGGTGTTTATTGTTTTATCTGAAACAGCCAAATGATAAAAAGAAGAGACCATAAGTGAGAAAGCTGCAGACATGAGTGTCAGTGTTGCTAGGAATGTGTTATTTCACAAGCTGCCACTGTGTGATGGAGGGGGAGCTCAGTTCTCTTGCTGCCACTTTGCCTGGTCCCACAGCTCTCTCTGACAGGGGGTTTTTACTCATGCAGGTGTGTTGTGCGGAATGATCGCAATAGCAGACACTGTCAAGCAGGAGGCAGCCCTTGCTGTGCACACGCTGCAGAGCATGGGGATAGACGTGGTGCTCATAACAGGGGACAACAGGAAAACTGCAAAAGCCATTGCTACTCAGGTATCCGCTCTGTGTTTCAAAAAGCTGCATGATGAGGTTCTAAGACTCCTGTTTGCCCCGGTGAATTTGAAACAGGAGCTTCAGTTTCCCTGGAACTGCAGTTTCCCTGGATACATTAAAGGAAGCCAAATTTTTCTTGAACTGCATTGAAAATCAGGTCAATATGACATAGTAGAGGCCAGTGGCTGCATTAAAATCCCGCTGAAGACATGCAGTTAATACTTCTCCAGAGTAATGGAGCTTCTTGCAGTAATTGGTTGCTGAATGCCTCCTGTTTCCCTTCACTGAAAGGCAGACCTGTTGGGTTAGTGATGAAGGAAAGTTCCTTGAAGGTCTAGTCCTGGTCACAGTTAGGGGATCCACAGTGTGGATTTGTCCTTATCTTAAAGGGTAACATCAAAATTTGAATTATTGTTAAGAAGCATAGCAGTCTAAAGAAGGTTGAGTTTATATGAGATTTCCCCCATCTCAAACTGAAAAGTCAGATTCTCACTCTACATTACTATGTTTCCATCCTCTCAGTCTTCACTTCCCTCTTTCCCTTTGCATTGGTCTACTTCTAATCTTACCATGTGCCACTTTGCTTTCCTCAGGTATCCCACCACACAGCTGACTCAGCCAGCACTGTGGTATGCACGTTCTTCTGTGCTGTGAGGTCTGTTTTGTTTCTCCGTGTGATGCTTTAATCCTCCTCCTATTGGGTTTCATACTTTCACTTTTGTTTTCTGTTATGGTAAAGTGCTTTCCCACTCAACTTTCTTTGTCAAGGGAAAAAAGTCTTTCAGCAACAAGCTTGAATTTATGGTTCCAGGAACACAGATGAATGTTTTAAACAAGCTTAGTTTGTGTCAACCTACATTTTCATTTAATTTTTGGAACGTACTTTCCAATGGAAAGAAATGGTAAGCAGTTTTAAAAATGTTATAAAATGTTACTTAACAGGTTAAAAGAGAGCTCTGTCTTATGTGGTGAAAAGCTTCTGCCTGGTGAGGCAGCCAAACAAAGGGCATTATCCCAGCACTATTTAATACACTCATCTGTTCTTCAACTACAACACTAGAGCCATTGTTAGTAACTCCACATAAGTTATGATGAGGATGGGTAGAAGCATTTAGCCATCTGCTTTATTTTTATAATCTCCCTGAGACTTGTTGTCTGTGTGGTTCCCCTGCTGTAACTGCTTGATCACACATGGTCTGTGTGTTGCATTATCTGCTTGAAAGCTCTGCAGAGGGATCTGGACAGGCTGGATTGATGGGCTGAGGCCAGTTGTGTGAGGTTCAAAAAAGTGAAGTGCCAGGTCCTGCACTTTGGCCACGACAACCCCAGGCAGGGCTACAGGCTGGGGGCAGAGTGGCTGGAAAGCTGCTCAGCAGAAAAGGACCAGGGGTGCTGCTTGACAGCAGCTGAACATGAGCCAGCTGTGCCCAGGTGGCCAAGAAGGCCAATGGTATCCTGGCCTGTGTCAGCAATGGTGTGGCCAGCAGAAGTAGGGAAGTGGTGGAGTCACCACCCTTGAAGGTATTTAAAGGACAAATCTTTATTGCTATGGCACTGGAGCTCCAGAAGCCATGCAGGGCATCATGCTAAGGGCAGAGTATGGTTTGCCAGCATCTCTAGTAGGAGGGTGCTGTTATCAATCCTGTTCTTATGCCAAAGGCTTGTTGCTCTTCAGTTTTCTGTTTGAAATCACTTTGGTTGATATTCCTGTTTGCCCTTCACCTAGAACAGCAAATGGCTCTTCCTTCCAGCATGGAGCATGTCACCAATGGGGTGTCTTTCTTTGTATATGTAGGTTGGGATCAAAAAAGTTTTTGCGGAGGTTCTTCCTTCTCACAAGGTTGCAAAGGTCCAGGAACTCCAAAATGGAAAGAAGAAGGTTGCAATGGTTGGTGATGGAGTCAACGATTCCCCTGCACTAGCCAAGGCCGATGTTGGAATAGCAATTGGAACGGGCACCGATGTTGCTATTGAAGCTGCAGATGTTGTCCTTATCCGAGTGAGCACTACAGTTTTGGCTGTCCTCTTTTATCACTGACACTCTTGATTTTGGTTTAGTTTTCTGAAGATTGCATGTGGAAAACTTTCCGTGCTCTTCTCTCTTGCAGAATGATTTGCTGGATGTAGTTGCCAGTATTCACTTATCCAAGAGAACAGTTCGAAGAATACGAATAAATCTGATTCTTGCCTTAATTTATAATATGCTTGGAATACCCATAGCAGCAGGTATGTGACTACCAGAGCTCAGCTTGTCAAAAACAGCAGCACAGTTGATCTCTGTGGTGCCTCCTGTAGGACTGATTCCCTGCTGAAGGAACCAAAGACAGATTCCTAGATTATTTAAAACATGGTAGAAGGAGGGCAAAATAGATACTTTTTTTTACTGCATATTTTTTTTTTGTCTTTGCTTTTTTCTCTTCTCTTTGCTTTGCTTAGGAATATATACTTCTATATGAAATCAAAACTATGCTCTTATTTTGTATAGCGGTACTTGGGGATTAGTTTCTGTATATCCAAACCCAGCTCTGATTAGATGTACCATCCTACTTTTGAGTACTTCCTCTTTTATCTGCCCTGAATCACACATTTTCTCTCTTACTGCTTGTATTCTTTATGCCTTTGTCAGACATTTTCTCATGATCTAAATTCCTACTTAAAACTTACTTCAAGTGTTCCTTGTTTTGTTTATGAGTAACTTCTCCCTCCTTTTCCCATACTATTGCCTTGTCTTTCTGTTGCCTTTGCTGTGTTCCATATGTGCAGAATATCTGGAAGGGACAAATAGTCCCTTACCCTGTGGCTGCAGTCTTGTATCTGTATTGGTGCAAAGGTCATCCCTTGCAATGGAAGGGACATGTTTAGAAATAAGTGAGTAAATACATATATTGATCTAGTTGTGTTTATGGAGGTCTCAGCAGGTTGTGTTGTAGAACTGCTGATCTGTTTTATGTTATGCAGGGGTGGAAATGCCCTGGAGCGCTGGGATGTGCAGCTCTGGCTCATGTCCATATGTGTTTTTTTTGCTAGGTGTGTTCATGCCTGTTGGCCTCGTGCTTCAGCCTTGGATGGGATCAGCTGCAATGGCAGCTTCTTCTGTGTCTGTCCTGCTGTCTTCCCTGCAGCTGAAATGGCAAGTTGTCCTGTGTTTATCCACTGGGGAGCTGTGGCAGTACTGAGGCTGGGACTCAAGTGATCCACTATTTTGGGCTTTCTACACCTAAAAGTACCTGAAAGTCCATTAGCTTGGGGTTGTTCTGTCTAATCCTTGGCTTCAAAAGAGACATGTGTCACTATTATGAATTTACCTGGACTAAGACAGTATGCATTATGCTTTAACTAGCAGCTAAAAGTGTGACTGGATGTCACCTGGGCCCATGTGGTGGAGATCTAGTTTAATACCAAGTAATGATCAGGAGGTTTTGCTGTTCATCAAATGAGCAGTTAGTTTGAAAGATAATTCTCCATAATGTAACAGTAGATTTTTGAAAAAAATATTTGTACTTGTTTAGTTTTTATTTTTGTCTATCTAAATTAGCCAGAGAGAAACAGGGAAGCAGTGTATTTAGTCTTTTGCACCTGGCTGCAGATAAAGCATCTTTCTTTATTCTTTTGGAAGCAAACCAATTTCTGATCTACAACAAGATTTTTCGAGTTCTATTCATTTTAATGTTACATTTTTGGGTGCCCTTTTTGGCAGTTACAATGGACCTATTCTTAACAGCATAGAAAGCAAACACCTTTCAAGAATAAGACTTTTTATGGTCTGAAATTGGTCCAAACCTTCGCATATTTTTACTGTAGCTGGGGTCTTCTGTGTGTTCCAGTACAGTACAGTACAGTATAAACTAATATAGGAAATCTGTTACTACATCATGTTTCTAATCCTGCAAATGCTCAATGAGATATACATATAAATCTTTATAAATAAATACGAAAGACATACATACACATGTCTGTTTGCAAAATCAGCCCTACCACTACAGGATTTTCATCCTAAAAGGTTTCAGTGTATAGTTATCCAAAAGATGAGAAATTTCTATAAAGGGATTCCTTAATCCTCCATTTCTTTTGACCTTGTGCTGATTGCATTAAGTGTCACATGCCATTTTGGATAGATACTGAGAACCCCCTAAAAAATATTTGGCTTCAGACTTATGGAAGCTGTATTAAATGTGTACACTTTAGGATAATAATCTTTCTTGAAGCTTCAGATCAGGTGAATAGAACTTCAGGTTCCAAAGAACACAACAGTGCATATATATGTGAAGAGGAGCACGCACACTTGCCATTGCTGGGATTTGACTTAGTATACATTGAATCAGAAAGCAATTTTTTGTGTCATTGAGTCCATTCAACTAGCAATTGTCTTCTATGAACCTTCTAATAATCCACCAAACTCATAATTTTTATTAAAGAACCTCACTTTGAAAGTCCCTCTTTTACTATTGAAATGTCTTAATGCTGTATGACAAGTACTCTTAGCTATTTGACACTGTGCCTGAAGTGCATAGAATCATGGAACCATCTGGATTGGAAAAGATCTTTCAGATCATTGAAACAAGCCATTAACCTGGCACCACCAAGTCCACCACTAAACCAAGTCCCTAAATGCACCAGAAGAGTCCTCAATCAGTGGTATGTTGTCTTGAATGACTGAAAACTCAGATCAGAAACATCTTGAGGAGTGTTCTGCATTTCTCCATCATCTTCCCTTATCCTTCTGTTCTTGTTTTGTTTTGAGAGAATTGTCAGGCTCAAAATTCAAGTAGTAATAAAAATCATTGTTTTGTAACTGTTTTTTGAGACCCTTATACTCTTGAAACCACACTAATTAATTGTTTGTGAGCTATTAGATAGGAAACTTAATTTAAACATGTGTAATTCATCTATAAAGTTATTTTTTCCATATAAACACTTTCAATACATTTAGGTAGCAGAAGTTTCTGATTTGTTCTAGTGCCAGATGCTTCTACATGTTGACCTCTTGTTGTTAATATATTTTCTCTTTCTCTTCTTAGTTACAAAAAGCCAGACACAGAAAGTTACGAGGCACAAGCTCAAGGCCGCATGAAGCCACTCACTCCTTCACAAATCAGTGTTCACATTGGAATGGACGACAGGAGGAGGGATTCTTCCAAACCATCTTCTTGGGATCAGACTAGCCAAGTGTCCCTCTCTTCCTTGGCTTCCAACAGGCTGCCGAGACGCAATGGTTTCATTGAGGAGGAAGGTGGCAAGTGGTCGTTGCTCATAAACGGAGCAGATGAAGAGCAGTACATCTGAAGCACTGGACTCTTGGTACAGAGGGAAATGTTCCTCCTCCCCAGTCAGGGGAGGGTCTGACTTATTTCATCAACAGCTTCAGTGTTGTAAGTGAAGTGTTCCTTCAGCTCATGAGAAGATTGCAACTCAGCTCAGTGTTGGGTTGTATGGATTGTGGATTTTTTTCAGGTCACCAGTTATTTCTGGTCATGGAAATAATCTGTGGCACTATAATGAACTGGCTTGTTTGCACACGGAATTTAGTGAAATAATGTAAAATTGTAATTTTCAGTCTAAAAGAGTTTCTCTTTGACTCTTTGCTAGGAACCAAATTTCATACTTTTCACTCTTTAAAACTTTATTACTTCAAGACCACATGAAGTAAAAGTATTTTCAGAGCTGCCAAATATTGATTTGTATCTAAATGAAGTTAGCAATGGCAAAAGGAATTCTGTGGTCAGAAGTTGAATTTTTACACAGAATCCTAACTAGTCATGTCACTGTGAGATCACTTTGTATTTAGGATCCATGGCATCTCCTGGGGCCAAAAATGCTTTGTTGTTTCACCTGCTATAACTCTCTGAAAGGTCTTTTTCAAAGATTTTCACTTGCTTTGAAGTATTGCATTCTTTTGATGCACGTTTCTTTACTCTCTTTGATTTTCCCTTTTTCTCCATATAAGCCCTTTTCCCCTTTTTCTTGCACAGGAGATCTATGAGTTATCATTATGTTTACAGATACTTCTGTTTGGGACAAACTCCTTTAAGTCACCAGGAACCGGTCCATTCCTATTGAAGTCCATAAAGGCAGAACTGGTTCCTGGTCCCAGTTATCCAAGATACCTTGCTGGACCCTGGGGAAGCTCCTTAGAGTTGGCCAGTTGTCTGTCTTTTTCCTCTGACAGAGTGAAGGATTTGTGCCAGTGTGAGCAAAGGTGGTATTTACCTTGGAATGACTGAGCAGAACTAGCACTGGTGTGACTCCAGCGTAGCTGAACAGAGTGAGCTTATTGCACAACTTAACCCCAGCTGGCTGCTTGCTTAAAATGCAGCTAAGTTTAAATTAAAAAGGTGGAAAAATGGCCTTAAAGTGGGCTTCTATTTGCCATAATATGAATAAATGACAGGACCTGAACTAAGAAAATTTGTAATTTAAATTTGTATTTATGTTTTGTATTGTTTTTATCTCCCCTCTTTATTTCAATGAGAAATCAAAGTGCTGGATAACCATTTTTTTTCTGTAACATCTTTACCAAATCTTGCATTAACTTCATCCCTGTGGATGTCAGATTCACCCCTTAACACTTTTTAGAGTCAGGATGGCAGTAATCAACTGCTTTGGTGCACTGGATCCAGTCCCAGAGTGCTGTGTTGTCCAGCTGCGGACTCTGAGGTAAGCAGAGTTTTATAGTCTAGTTTAGAAACTGAAAGAAGAGGAAATACATTGCTAAACAACATGAAATAACTACTTATTTTCATTGACTGAAATATAGAGCTGTTTCTAAGATGGGTTCAAATCCTGCTTCTCCTAATGTAAAAATGAAAAACAAGTTGGAGAGGAAAAGAATTGTTCTTAAAGAATTGGATGGGTCCTCTTATTTTCTCAGCACTGTCTTAAATAGAATTACAAATCAGTTTTAAAACTCTATATAAGTAGAGATTACTTTCACAGTTTTTCACACAGTTCACACACACACTTTCCACACACTTTTCAAAGGTGCATGCCATAGGTGCATGTCCCTGTGGGAAAGAGGGTCTGAAGTTTTGCTATTCTGTGTTTTCTTACCAGTCCTTACAGTAAAAATATGTTGTTTTTTAAAAAAAAAAAAAAAATCAAACAAATAATTGTGTGTCTTTTTCTTTTTTTATTGAGGGGTTCAGAATAAAAAGAGCATAAACAGAGATTGTTGGATTGCAGGGTGCATAGCATAAGGTTTGGTGTCTGTTTTGTGATCTGTTTCAGGCAGGATGTATAGGAGGGAAAAAAAGACAGTGTTGCTTCATGTTGAGATAGGTGAGGTTGCAAGCATTTTAAAGGGTGGAAATAGGATTCAAAATCATCCTGGGAAATTGGACAGAACCAGGAAACTTTGCAAACAGAGCACAGAGGAATTAAAGGTCAGTGCAGCTGAAAAAGGTCAGGTAGTTGTCTGGCATTCGTTTTGTGACCTGGTTTAACAACTCAGTGATGCTGCAAAATGAAGAGAAACATAGAGAGGTATAAAGACTGTATCACCCATATGACAAAATACCTCATTCTGTTCTGCTCTGGAGAGGCACCAGCTGAAGTAGCAGGTCTATGAAGTAGCAGGTTGTATATGTCATGCTTGTTAGGAAAAAACAGTTCAGAGAAGAGCAATGAGATTTAACAGAAATCTAGAAAACGTGAGAAGGTAGGTGTATGAGAATGAGAAATATAAGAAGATTGAAGGAATTTGAGTAGGTTTGCCTACAGAATACCATAAGGAAATACAAGTCTCAAAACACAAAGAGAACAATTTATTCCTTTCATCTTTTCAATGTCTTTTATGTTCACAGTGACTAGAACAAGAAAATAATAGGCTTATTGAGCCAAAGAATATTTAGATTAGTCACTAGTCCTGTGTAACAGGAAAGACTGTGGAGCACTGGAAGAGGTTGCAGGTGGGGGCTCTTTAGATGTACATGGCAATCAGGCACATATTTGGTGATAAAATGTTAGCCAGAGGTGAATCCTGACTTGGGGCAGGCAGCTGCCCTACACCATCTCCTGACCTTCACCCCAGATGGGGTTTCTCCTATTTCTGTGAAAGTAATATGAACAAAAAAATTACTGGAGTAGAGAACTGACCACACTATCCTGCTCGCAAGCAGTGCCGAAGAACCAGAAGTAAGCTTGACTTATTTAATATTTGAAATTAACTGGAAAAGGTTTGCTCATTATATTTGCATAATGTCTTAGGCTTCAAATGGCTGTGAAACTTGCATAAATCTTAGAATCACAGAATGGCTTGGGTTGAAAGGATCCTTAGAATTCACCTAGTCCAACTCCCCTGCCATGGGCAGGGACACCCACTAGACTGGGTTGCTCAGAGCTCCACCAACCTGGTCTTTGAGCACTGCCAGGGAAGGGGCACCCACAACTGCTTTGGGCAACCTGTACCTGTGCCTCACCACCCTCACAGTAAAGAATTTCTCCCTAATATTTAATGTAAACCTACCCTCTTTCAGTTTAAATCCATTCCCCCTTGCCTAATCACTACATGCCCTTGTCAAAAGTCCCTCTCCGGCTCTCTCATAGCTCCCTTTAGGCACTGGAAGGTGCTCTAATGTCTCCTTGGAGCCTTCTTGTCTCCAGGCTGAACAACCCCAGCTCTCCCAGCCTGTCTTCATGGGAGAGGTTCTCCAGCCCTCTGAGCAGCTTTATGGCCCTCCTCTGTAGCTGTTCCAGCAGGTCCATGTCCTTCTTATGCTGGGGGCCCAGAGCTGGATGCAGCACTCCAGGTGGGGTCTCAGAGTGGAGCAGAGTGGCAGAATTCCCCTCCTCACCCTGATGGCCACTCTGTGTTGGAGGCAGCCCAGGATACGATTGGCTTCCTGAGCTGTGAGTGCACATTGCTGGGTCACTTCAAACTTCTCATCAACCAACGCCCCCAAGGCAAAAATGTCTATGAGAAAGTTAGACTAGTTATACATTGTCAAGAAAAAGAAATACAGTTGGTAGTCCTGACACTTGTGATCAATTGCTCTTGTTAAACTGGAGCTCCTGATGCACATCCAGTCTCACTGGAGGGGTGTATGATGTGGAGCTCAGCGTTTGCATTTCTGCATAATGCAATTATGAACTGCCCTTGTCCCCACCGGCCCCACCTGCCTGCAGCCCCCAGCAGAGTGAGGTACTGCCCTGGGACTGCTGCCTGTCCTGCCCCTACAGCAGAAGAGCTGGAGGAAGGTGCCTGAGAGGATGGACTCCTGAACTCCCTAAGCTCGGTGCCTGAGGTGCTCAGTAGTGTGTCACGCTTGTCCTCTTTCCTAGGACTGAGTATTTTGATGCATTAGACAGTACGGAGCAACTTTTCAAACCCCAGTTTTGATCTTAGGTGTCTGCCTTGTACATGTTGTCCCAGCACAACTCAGTTGCTGCCTATCTGATGGTGAGTGTTGATATATCTGATGATTTATAGGGGACATCCAGTTATTTTGCTCTGGGAAAAGTTTGTGAGTCTTTTGTTGTAACTTTTCAATTCTTTTTTAATGAACACAGAAGACATCTAATGAATCAGATCTTTGATTTTCATGTTAATTTTAGTGCAATAGCTCAGGAACACTGTTGCCTGTTAAGTTTTTCAACTATTTTTCTTCTCTTGTTATAGTTTTGTCATACAAATTTTGGTGCCCTAAGTTCACAGGAGAGAAATTATTCCATTTCATTTCCTCCTCCTTTCCCCTTTTTTTCCAAGCAAATAAGCTGTCTGATTTCTATCTGAGCTGATTACAACCTTTCTCTGACTAAGTATTTGTTCAAGGATTGTATTTTCTCTAAATGCACTTATGTGTGAAGAAAAAGAATGAGTAGGTGGTGAAATTAGACAATGGTGTGCAGGGATGTGAAATCAGATAACACCGAAATGCTGGATTTAATTTCCCCTACTAAGATGCCAATAGCAAGCCAGTGGGAAATTGTTTGAGAGTCACAACAAAAGAAGTGGTGAAGCACAAAACATCCTGCTCACATGTGAGTCTCAGACAGACATAAGCACAGGAGGAGACACATTAACTCCTCTCTTTTTCTCGAGTTAAAAGCACCAAGGCTTTGCAGGCAAGTACAGCCCGCCCACGGGCTCTCTTGTGCAATGATCTGATTTTCATGACTGATTTACCTTCATGCTTCAAATGATGATTTCCGAAGTGTCCCCTGGTGCTGCAGGTGAGGGGATGTGGCAGGGGGAGGCGTGTGTTGTTTTCCCCCGGGGCATTCAGCCAGCCCCGGTGGAGGTGAGTTCCCAGGGAGGTTTGTGCTGCTCAGCGCAGAGCAGTTCTGTGCTCCGGGGGCATCGGGGTGAGGTTGGGGTCGGGGGGCTGTGCCACTCAGCAGCCAGCACCTCACCTCGTGGGGGACCACGAGATGTCACTGCAGGTCCAGCCCAAGCCACAGAAACCCCTTAATCTGTAAAGCATCTGAAGATCCAGTACATTCACTGCCGGCTACCAGCAAAGGGAAAAATGTAAAGGGATAGTTTAATTCATATCTAAAATTTTGGTCTGAAAATATATAGCCCAAGAATAGATTTTGGGCTAGTGTCTGTTTGCCTCGAATTCTGAATTGGTACTTCTTATTATTTGATACTTAAGAAAATCCTAAATTGCACAGGTGTGTCTGCTGAAATTGCTTTCTTTTTCTTCTGACAAGCCGAGATTCAGGAAGAAAAGCTGCACTGCAGGAAGTCAAAGCGAGGTGCCTGCGTCCTCAGGACAAACCTGCACCTTGTGGTGTGAGCTTAAACTCCCCAGGGAGCTGAGGGTTCAGGACTGCTTGTTTGGTGGAGTTGTGTTTTAAGTAGAGCTTAGGGGAAGTCACAGCAGCCCTTGGCTTTCCCACAGGGCACCGCATCAGACTCTGCAACATCGGCCCCGGAGGGCTGAGCCCCGTGTGAGCCAGGAGCAGGCTGCCAGCAGAAATCACGTATTCTGGCAGAATTTTACTCACCAAGGCAAACCAGCCCTTGCTCTGAAGCCTGCCTGTGTGTTCCAGCCGTGCAGGGAAGGGTGTGCAGTGCCAGTCTGTGAGAGACTCTCCTGCATCCTCGCAGAAAGGGGCCTCGCTTCCAAGGGTTAATTTTATTTTAAGATACCTCTGCATTGCAGTTGCAAATCGGAGCGGTTGGGAGCAACCTGCTGAACGGGAAAGGGCTCATTAAATATATACTGTCACTGATTTATGAGAGAGTGCAGAGACAATATAATTACATATAATCATGCCAGAATCTTGCTGCAGAGTTGCCATTTGTGTTGGGAATTTTATCCTCTCACTACGGCAGGAGGATTTAAAAAACCCATACATCTGCCAATATATTTGTGCCACAACTAACTTACTTAGAAGCTTTTGTTTGATCATTCTCTTTACAGACCACGGAGCTTTTTAAGTATATCATCATCTTAGGGATGAACAAAAGGTAGGCAAGGCTTTGGGTGGTGCGCTGCTTTCTTCGTGTCCGTGGGGGAGGCAAGTTTGGGCTGTAAAGAGGACCTGGCCAATACTACTCTTGCCAAGGCTGTGTTACAAAGGGAAAGTTTAAACCAGTAGCTCATAAGAAGCTGCTGGAAGGGTGGTTTGGGTGGAAGATGCCTGTACTCACCTGCCTCTGCTGGTGCAGGTACCCACAGGTGGGCTGAGAAAGTCAGTGTGTGTAAGATGAGGTGTAAGCTCTTCTCTGGACACACTCCTGCACCTCAGTGTCCTTTTAGTGAGGGGCCCAGAACTGAACACAGGATTTGAGGTGTGGCCTCACCAGTGCTGAGTACAGGAGGACAATCCCTGCCCTGCTCCTGCTGGCCACACTAGTGCTGACACAGGCCAGGATACCATTGGCCTTTTTGGCCACTTGGGCACAGCTGGCTCACGTTCAGCTGCTGTCAGCCAGAACCCCCAGGTGCTTTACAGCTGAGCAGCTTTCCAGCCACTCTGCCCCCAGCCTGTAGCACTGCCTGGGGTTGTTGTGACCCAGGTGCTGGGCTGAGACATACTAGGACATGAAGGT